CTTCCTTTGTCCTTGACTGATCATACCTTCTCCCTAGTTATCCTCTGTTTTTAATGTATGTATAGAATACCTTGGGATTCTCTTTAGCCCTACTTGCCAAGGTCATTTTGCAGCCCCTCCTTGCTCTCCTAATTCCCTGCTTGAGTTCTTTCCTGGTTTCTGTATATTCCTCCTGGGCCTTGTCCAATTTTAGCTTCCTAAACCTTACTTATGCTGCTTTTCCCCTTTTTTGGCTAAATTCACAACTTCCCTCATTTTCCAAGGGTCCCATTCCTTGCCATCCTTGACCTTCCTCTGTGCTGGAACATGCTAGTCCTGAACTTTATAGAGCGAACAGCCAGGGAATTTTTCTGAGGGTGGAGGTAGCTATTACGAGGGGTCCTAGTTTTAAAGTGTGTGGAGGTAGATATAGAGGAGATGTTAGAGGTAGGTTCTTTACTCAGAGCGGTCGGGGTGTGGAATGCATTGCCAGAGAGGGTAGTGGAGTCGGCCTCATTAGGGGCATTTAAGCGGCTATTAGATAGGCATATGGATGATAGTATAAGGTAGAGGTGGAGGTTAGATAGACCTTAGGTTTAGAGTAAAAGTTTGGCACAACATCGTGGGCCAACGGGCCTGTACTGTGCCATACTGTTCTATGTTCTATGTTCTAACAAATTCTGCACTGTCTAACCCCTTTTTGCTGTAAGGGAGACCCAGCCAATGTTGGGGAAGTTAAAGTTACCCACTATGACAATCCTGTTGTTATTGCATCTTTCCATAATCTGCTTACATATTTGATTGTAATCTAAATCGTAACAATGATGAAACCATTGTTCATTGTTCATTGTTCATTGTCATTGTCAGAAAAATCCATCAGGCTCACTAGCGTCCTTTAGGGAAGGAAATCTGGCCTGCACATGACTCCAGACTCTCAGCAGTGTGGTTGATACTTAACTGCCCTGTGAAATGGCCTAGCAAACCATTTCATTGTATAAATCACTAGAAAGGAAAAAAGGTAATGAAAGAGGACAGAAGACCTGGCATTGACCTAGGCATCAGAAACAACAGCAAAAGCAGCCCTGTAGCTATATTAAAAACAAATGCTGAAGATCACAATTGATACAGTATGGAACTGAAGGAACACACGAGGTCAGGCAGCATCAGAGGAGCAGGAAAGTCGACGTTTCGGGTCTGGACCTGAAACGTCGACTTTCCTCTTCTGATGCTGCCTGACCTCCTCTGTTCCTCCATTCCTCCAGCTCCATGCTATTGACTCTGACTTCCAGCATCTGCTGTTCTTGCTATATCCTAATGCTGGAGATCACTGTGGGTCTACAGCATCCATGGAGAGACAGCAAGCTAGCATTTCGAGTCTAGTTGACTCTTCGTCAGAGCTGAAGTGTAGTGTGGAGGAGACAGCATTTATGCTATGGTTTGGGGGAGGGAGGGCTGGAGGTAGTGGGTGTAGGGTGCTGGTGGAGAAGAGATGCTGATCATTCAGATTAAGTAATCGGAATGTAAGAATGGCAGAACAATGGTGTGTTTCCTGCCAGACTTGATAGGACAATAACTGGGATGATGTGGAGATGCCGGTGCCGCTGTTGGGTTGTGGTGGACAAGGTCAGAAATCACACTACACGAGGTTGTAGTCCAACAGGTTTATTTGAAAACACAAGCCGTCGGAGCCTTGCTCCTCTGCCAGGTGTTAGTGAGAGAGGTAGTATCAGTCACAGAATTTATAAATAAAAGATCAAAGGGTCGCACCAGTGATGAGGATGTATTAAACAAACCTAAGATGCTGTTAAATCTTTAATCAATTAGAAGGTTTAATTGATTAATATGTATATGTGAATCCCTGAATTCCTTTCAAGTCATAGTCCTGAGAGAACTGAAGGTTTTATCAGTGTGAAGAAGAGGTGACATTTTAGGTCAGGCAGTGCATGTTAGGTGTGAGGCCTTGTTTAGAATCTGTTTGTTTTGATTTAGAGACAGACTGGTTTTATTTTTAAAGTAGGAATTTATAAAGCACCATTGTCTATAAATTTGTGTGCTTTTTGAACAAAATAGACTGTACCTGCAAATACAGATTCACCCCATAGATTTTTGTGTGCGCGTGTGTGGGGGTGTGGAAAAGTGTGTGAGAAAGAAGGAGAGTGAGTGACTGTGTGCGCATGTGCTGGTTGTGGTGGGGGGGGATAGAAAGTTGACTTTCCTGCTCCTCTGATGCTGCCTGACCTGCTGTGCTCCTTCAGCTCCACATTTTATCGACTGACTTCCAGCATCTGCAGTCCTTACTATCTCACAGGTTAAAGGTATTGAGCTCAATATTAAGTCCTGAAGATGAGATATGCCTAGTCTGAAGATGAGAATGGATTAGGATCATTTACTGCCATTTCAGACAACTCCAGCAGAACACCACCATCAAACACACCTTCCCTCTCACTCCCCCGTCTGCATTTTGCAGAATATCCTAGTCCGTTCCACAGCTGCCACCAGCCCCCATCCACGCACACGCACACACACAAATTTAAGGCACCTTCCCACATAACTGTGGAAGGTGCAATACCTGGCCCTTCACCTCCCTGCTCAACATCCAAGGGCCTTTCCAGATGAAGCAATATTTCACCTCTACCATCTCTAATCTTGTGTATTGCATTCGCTGCACCCAATTTGGCCTGCTGTACAGTGGAGAAACCAAAACGTAGGGTGACTGCTTTGCAGAACACCTCTGTCCTGCACACAGAGAGGACCCTGACCTTACCGTAGCCAGTCATTTTAACAGTGTCCGGCTCGCATACCCAAATGCCTGTCCTCAGCATGCTGAAGTGTTCCAGTGAATCACAGTATAAACTAGAGGAACAACATCTCATCTTCAGACTTGGCACTTTATAAGCCTTCTGGACTTAATATTGAGTTCAACACCTTTAAACTGTGAACCATTTCTTCCCTTTCCTTTAGCTTGTTATCATGTCCAGTCAAATTGATCTTTTTGAATTTTACGTGAAATTTAACCTGAATGAATTGATTGGGCAATGAGAGTCAGCTCCATCAATTCCAAAACATGATTGATTCCTTGGTAGAGCCACCTGATGGAGAAAGTGAAGTCGCATGGGGTCCAGGGTGTACTAGCTACATGGATAGAGAACTGGCTGGGGAACAGGAGACAGTTGTAGTGGATAGGAGTTTCTCAAAATGGAGAACTGTGACAAGTGGTGTTCCACAGGGATCTGTGTTGGGACCACTTGTTTGCGATATACATAAATGATCTGGAGGAAGGTATAGATGGTCTGATTAGCAAGTTTGCAGATTATGACACTAAGATTGGTGGAGTAGCAGATAGTGAAGGGGACTGTCGGAGAATGCAGCAGAATATAGATAGATTGGAGAGTTGGGCAGAGAAATGGCAGATGGAGTTCAATCCAGGCAAATGCGAGGTGATGCATTTTGGAAGATCCAGTTCAAGAGCGAACTATATGGTAAATGGAAAAGCACTGAGGAAAATTGATGCACAGAGAGATCTGGGTGTTCAGGTCCATTGTACTCTGTAGGTGGCATCGCAGGTCGATAGAGTGGCCAAGAAGGCATACGGCATGCTTTCATTCATCGGACGGGGTATTGAGTACAAGAGTTGGCAGGTTATGTTACAGTTGTATAGGACTTTGGTTCGACCACATTTGGAATACTGCGTACAGTTCTGGTCGCCACATTACCAAAAGGATGTGGATGCTTTGGAGAGGGTGCAGAGGAGGTTCACCAGGATATTGCCTGGTATGGAGGGCGCTAGCTATGAAGAGAGGTTGAGTAGATTAGGATTGTTTACATTAGAAAGATGGAGGTTGAGGAGGGACCTGATTGAGGTCTACAAAATCGAGAGATATAGACAGGGTGGATAGCAAGAAGCTTTTTCCCCAGAGTGGGGGACTCAATTACTGGGGGTCACGATTTCAAGGTGAGAGGGGAAAAGTTTAAGGGAGATATGTGTGGAAAGTTCTTTATGCAGAGGGTGGTAGGTGCCTGGAACGCGTTGCCAGCGGAGGTGGTAGACGCGGGCACGATAGCGTCATTTAAGATGTATCTAGACAGATACATGAATGGGCAGGGAGCAGAGGGATACAGATCCTTGGAAAATAGGTGACAGGTTTAGATAGAGGATCTGGATCGGCGCAGGCTTGGAGGGCCGAAGGACCTGTTCCTGTGCTGTAATTTTCTTTGTTCTTTGTTCTCAGTTACTGTCCTTTTCAAGTCTGGCAGGAAGCACACCATTGGAATGTGAGATTGGTAGAACAGTCACTCAATCTGAATGGCCAACATCTCCACCAGCACCCTACACCCACGAGGCAACAAACCACACCCCCAACTATATCATAAATGCTGTCCCCTCTGCAGTTCACTTCAGCTCTGAAGAGTCATCTAGATTTGGAATGTTAGCTTGCTGTCTGACCTGCTGTGATCTCCAGCATTTGTTGTTTTCAGTACAGATTCCAGCATCTGCAGTAATTTTTTCCTGTAATTATATTGCTGTTCCTTCAACATTGCTGGGTTAAAGTCTTGGAATTGGACCTCCAATACCCCCCCCCCTCGGGGGGGGGGGGGGGGGGGGGTGAACAGCATTGTGGGGTTGCACATGGACTGCAGTGCTTCAAGAAAGCAGCTCAACACCACTTTCTCAAGAGAACTAAGGATGGGAAATAGACGCTGGCCCAACCAGCCACACCCATTTCTTATAAGTGATTAATTTAAAAAAAGTACCGTGTGATTATTGTGTGCGTCCTGTCTATTGTGTATAGTTTTGACTTTCCAATATTTTCTGTATTTTTACTCATTTGATGGTTTTATTTGTTTCTGTCTTGCATCTCCTGTCCTACCTGCCTGGTCTGCCTTCATAGTCTGGTTCCCTCTGTATACTCTTGACTAGCAATGTGGCCATCTCCCTAAATGTGCCTTTTGTAGATTTTGATTTTTCTTCCTTGTGATATGACTCTCACTAGCAAAGTCTGCATTAACTTGCCATTTCACTCCCCTTGTGGTGATTGACCTGCAACAAGCAAAACCTTTTTTGTGTTAGATATGATTCCAGTGAGTAGAACAAGCTCCATGCCCATCCATTGATTCCCATTGACTTCATTTTTGCTAGAGGTGCTTGATGTTGCCTTCTCAAATGCTGCCTTGATGTTAATGGCAATCACACTCAGCTGTGTGGTGTGCTATTACTGCAGCATGTGGGAATGTGAAATGAATTGTAGTCGTAGACAACCACATATGTAGTATGTCTCTGCAGCTTGTGATATTTGGCTCAGTTGTTCAGCTGGAATCATTGAGTTGCAGACATTGCAAGACATCAATGAAGTGGAGAGTGAAAGGGAGACTTTATTCAGGGAGACAGTCATGTTGCTTAGGTGAGGTAGAACTTTGCTGTTCCTGACCAGTAATCAACGCTCATGGAAAATAAGATGCTTTCCCAAAGTTTGCATTGGAATTTGCTGGAACACTCAAGATGGCTGAGTAAATTTGTGAGTATGAGTGCAAGATGGTAAACTGAAATGGCAAGTGACTAGAAAATAATTGTTACTCCTGTGGACACAATAGAGGTGTTCTGAAGTGTTCACCCAGTATGTATTTGCTGTCTCATAAGTACGAAGGAGGCCACAATGTGAGCAGTAAATTTCTGCTTCAGCACATTGAAGCTTTCAGGACTCAACATTGGTTGGATAGATTTGCAGAGTTAAGGATCTGTTTTCACCAATTCTACTTATATTGCTTCTCTGTTACTATTAGCTGTCCCTTTGCCTTTCGCTCTGGGGCCCCTTTTTCCATCTGATCAATTACTCCTGCTCACCCATTTGTAAACTGCCGCTTTCCAGTGCCCTTCATTTTTAAAATAAATCATATTGGACTCAAAGCATTAACTCTTTCTTTCTCCACAGATGTTGCCAGACCTGCTGAGTTTCTCCAGCACTTAATGATTTTATTTCAGATCTCCAGTGTCTGTCGTCTATGCTTAGTTTTAATGTTTTGGTAATATGACTTGAAATCGCACCATGGCAGATGGTGAAATTTTAATTCCATTTTTAAAAAGTTTGGAATAAAAAGCTAATCTAAATGCAACTTTGTCACCATTATTGATTGTTGAAAAAATCCATCTGATTCACTGTTGTCTTTTACGGAAATCTGCCCTCTGATCCCGATGAGCAATGGTCACAGTCTAAGATACAGGGTAGGCCATTTAGGATTGCCTTCACCCAAAGAGTGGTGAGTTTCTGGAATTCTCTGCTATAGAAAGCAGTGAGACCAAAATAATGAATGTTTTCAGAAGGTAATGGATATAGCTCTTAGGGCTGAAGGGATGAAAGTGTGGAGAGAAAGTGGGAACAGGATACTAAGTTGGATGGTCGACCGTATCCTGTTGAATGGCAGAGTGCACTGGACTGACCAAATAACTTACTCCCATTCCTGTTATCTATCCTTAATTGGTCTGACAAATATTTGACTCCAGACCAATAGCAATGTGTTTCACTCTTAACTGCCCTTTGGGCAATTAGGGATGGGCAATAAATACTGACTTAACTAATGCCCATGGGTGAAAAAATTATTAAAAAAAGTTTGAACACAACTCTGTATATACAGAGTGCCCACAGACAGTAATAGCTAGCCCAAAGACCCAATCTAAGATTGGATACATTCCTGCTTTTTCTTGGGAAATAGGGAAATTGGTCACAGTTACAGACTAGGAGGACTCCCACTGAAGATGTAAATGAGGTGAAATACTTTGTCAAGCTCATTCATCTTTGCTGTCTGGAGAAGAGTTCCAGTGGAGGTTGAGTGAGACAGAATTTGATTGAGATGTGAGGGTTATTTGAAACAGGTAGGAAAGTGAAGTTCAGGCCGTAATCAAATCTGCTGTCATCATCTTGAATGGATAATCAGGATAAATGGACATATTGACCTGCTCTTATTTTTTTTAGATCTTATTTTTATTTCTTGCCAAGGCTTAAATTGGAGTTTGCCAGCAGAGAATGAAATCAATAGGGGAGGCAAGGTGGTTAGCACTTCTGCCTCACAGCGCCAGGGACCTGGGTTCAATTTCACCCGCAGGTGACTGTCTGTGTGGGTTTCCTCCCACAGTCCAAAGATGTACAGGCTAGGTGGATTGGCCACGCTAAATTGCCTGTTGTGTTCAGGGATGTGTAGATTAGGGGGATGGGTCTGGGTGGGTGCTCTGAAGGTCAGTGTTGACTTGTTGGGCCAAAGGGCTGTTTCCACGCTGCAAGGATTCTATAAAAAACAGTATGCTTATGTCACCTCGTGCGAAGAGCTAGTGCTTCATATATCTTATTGTATCTAATAACAATCCATTTGTGATCAGAGCTGATTGTTGAATCCCAGTTTGTTCAACTTGTAATGTCACTGCAGCTGCTGGGATAGGATAGTAGTGCTCTGTTCTGTCTCCTTTCTGTGATGTCATCATTTGACTGATGATCCAATGGACGGACTAATGCTTTGGGGAAATGTGTTCAAATCTAGCCACAGCAGCTAGTGAAATTTAAATTCAATTAATAATTCAGGAATTGAAAGCTAGCTTTATTACTGAAATTATCAATTGTTGTAAAAAACTTTTTTTTAGGGCTAAAGGGATCAAAGGTACTGGGTGAAAGTGGGAGCAGGATATTCGATAGGATGATCAGCCATGATCATATTAAATGGCAGAGCAGTCTTGGATCCAATGGCCTACTCTTGTTCCTTTCATTTTTCCTGTTTCTATCTGTTTCAGTAATGTCCTTTTAGGGAAGAATATCTGGAATGTTAACTTTTTGTCTGAATATGTTTCACCAGACAATGTAGTTAACTCTTCAAGCTCGCTGAAATTGCTAAGCCATTTACAACCAGGGTAATTGGGGATGGTGACCAAATTTTGGCTTTTCCATGAATGAATAAAAGAAAGAGGTGCATTTTGCTGGATTTTTGTTTCTAGTCAAGACAAGTTAATTTATTTCCTTGTTTGAAAGGGTATGCCAGGTCTGCAAGCAGGCCAGGTTTATTTTGGAGCAACGGCATTAAATCCATTGGATAATTCTAATTGTCTTGTTCTCAAAGACATTTGCATCTGATGCTATCTTGATGCAGATCAGTAACTGTTTTCAGTATAATTAACAACTTTATCCAAGGTGGATTCGTGAAGCCATTTAAATTTAGAATGAACACACTTTTCCATCAGAACATCGCTATCCATTTTGGATAAAGGACTGCCAGTTGGGTGGCTCAGTGGTTAGTACTGCTGCCTCTCAGCGCCAGAGACCTGGGTTCATTTCCACCCTTGGGTGATCTAATTGAGTTTGCACATTCTCCCCATGTCTGTGTGCATTTCCTCTGGGTTTTCTCCTACAGTCCAGGGATGTACAGATTAGGTGGATTGGCCATTCGTAAATTGCCCAGTGTTCAGGGATGTGTCTGTTGGGGGATTAGCTATGGGAAATGCAGGGTTACAGGGATAAGCTAGGGGCGTGTCTGGTGGGATGCTCTTCATTGGATCGGTGTGGATTTGATGAGCCGAATGGTCTGCTTCCACACTGTAGGGATTCTGTGATTTCTTTGCATCCTCAAGCACTGGGAATACCAGTGCTTGCTTGCTGAAAGGAATCACTTTAGATGTGCCCTTTAAAATTATTCATATGAATGAATTTCTGTGCTTTGGTGCTTTCAGTGTTGAAATTGCATAAGTGTTTGACCTGAGAGACAAAAGTACCGAGTGATCTTCTTGGGCTGGAAGAAAGGATTGGTTGGCACTTCTAGCTTTTTAAAGGATCTACCTTTTTAAAGGCTCAACAGAATCATAGCTGAATCCTTAAATTAACTATTTATGCTCAATATATTCAACAGAATTTTTTTATCATCACCTTTATACCAGCTCATGTTTTTTGGTTAATACTGTCTTGGCGTATCTGTATGTGTGTGAGGGTTTGCCTTGTAAGTGATAATTGAGCTGCGAACATCTGAGAATTGAAATGGAATTGTTACAAGAGCAGACTTTGACTATAATAGACCTGCTCTATAGAAATTCAGTGTGGTACTCTGGAAAGCCAACTTGGTCCCTATTCAGGACTTTGTCTTCAGTAAAGCTGATTGTCATTTCACTTTGGGAATCCTGTCTTTACCATCGAGAAGGATGAAATTAAGTGTATCTCTTCACACATCTGGTCTACTAGTTACAACTTCCTTCACTTCTCTTGATGTCCTCAGCAGCTTTTTGCACTCATGTTACTACTTCACAGGACCACTTTTATTTGGTGAATCTTGCCAATATTCTTGGTAAATGTTCCCTTGAGGAGCAAGATATTGCAAATGGATCATCCAGGTCAGATAGTCACAGATCCATGTTTCCCTTCGAAAGACCTCACATTCTAAAGTGCTTTTGATGGGACAGTATAGGAAGGAGGCACCCACTGACTTTGGTTAGCCACAAAACTCAAATGTCTGTGGAAGGTTATTTTGAAGAATAACCTTATCTTTCATCATTTTTATTTTCTGTGGTTATTTTCATTGTAGTGTCGCCTTGACTTTGACATTTAATAGGATAGATGCTCAGATTGCCAGCAGGGATGCGGGATTGTAACTAGGATTTTCTTTAAAATCTTGGAATATTTATCATGGAGTATGCAGAACCATACTTGTTAAACTATTGGATGGTGCAGTGACAATTATTCGTCAAGTTAAAATACTGTTTAGAAGTTTTGTACCCTGCAGTCCATGCACTAGATTTGAACTCTACCTTTTTTGTGCTGACAGCATCCAGGCCGCCTCTGATCTTGCAGTCGCCGCCTCCTTACACCTCTCCCAGAGATGCCCCACCTGATATTCTGCTCGACTCCCCAGACAGGATGGGAAGCAAGAAGAAAACTAAAAAGGCTAAGCTCACCAAGGAGGAAAAAGAACAGGCAGATAAGACTGCTATGTATGACATTGTCAGCTCTCCATCTAAAGACTGTACAAAACTCACTTTGAGGCTGACTCGGGTTCGAGATCAGCAGGATGACATGCTCCCAAACATGGACAGCAGTACAGAAAATGAGGCAGAATTGAACAATATACAGTTCCCAGAACAGACTGCAAAACAGCCAGGGACTCATAATGATATCCATGGCTCAATGAATGTTTCTGCTCAATGTGTGCCTCAACAGGAGCAGGCCTTCCTTCAAGCGCAGCAGGGCACTGCCTTACAACAGAACAATGCAATTGGAACAGTGAAAACAGCACAGACACAGCCACAGCCACTACAGCAACAATCACAACAGACAATGACACCATACGATGAGGTAGAGTTGGATGCTTTAGCAGAAATTGAACGGATAGAACGAGAGTCTGCCATGGAGAGAGAGAGATGTTCCAAGGAGGTACAGGATAAAGGTGAGATTTTGATGTGTGAAAGAGAATCTTGTGAAGTTTGAGGGAAAATCGGCTTTAAAGCTCCTTTTGCCTCTCTCCTCCCATTTTTCACGTTTTCCACCCTCAACAAAGTTTCACTCAGCAGTTGTGGAGAACGCTGTCAAGAAAATTTTTGTCTGCTACTGTAGCATCTGCTTGGAGGCTCTCTTTGTGCTTTGAGACTGAACGTAGTTCGTAGTTGCTTTGAGAAGCCTTCCACAGGTCAAATAGATGTTCAGTCTTTTTGAATTGGGACTGGCAACAATTAAGGATTATCCTTAAATAATTAAGGATGATTTAATGCTTGCAAATGCAGTATTATGATTAAATCGCTGACGTTTTTAACATACAAGTAATCGATTTTCTATGTTTTGAAATAGTGACTGACTTCTTGGAGATGATTTGAATTTTATACTAAACATTGTCAAAGGACTGTACTTCTTTACAGAACTGAGTTGCATGTCTACAATTAAGTAATATTTTATATGCACCTAGGGCAAACTTTAGAATGTTGGTCTACTACTTTCCAGATAATTTCATGGCATAATGCAAGCAGCTGATGGAAAGCAGTGTTTTGGCTTTTCTGTACTGTCTAACAAAACATATCATGCAAAGCAGCAGGAATCTCTCGCTGCATTCTTGCTCATTCTGTGCTATTTGCTAAAAGTTAGAGTTTGTAGCATAGTGCAACCGTGTCCAATATCAAGGATTGATGCATGCAAAACACCAGTGGTGTTGTTTGGGTAAAGAGTTGTAATTCAATTCAGACTTTACCTGTTGGCTTTGTTCTTGGTGGTTTTTGACCACTTGTATACAAGCTGCGCTGATTTTGAAACGAATGAATGAAATAATTTGTGCCAAGAATTACGTCCATGGTTGGTCATTCTTCTGGTATTCTCTGCTTCACTTGACCTTTTTATTCTTGGATTTGATAGGGAATAAGCATTTCTGCTCTACATTTATGATTGCTTGGATTCAGGCAATTAAGTCTTTTGAATCCAGTCCTCTTAGTCCTCTGTTCAGTGCAAACTTGATATTGCTGTTCATGTTTGTTTTACCAAAATAATGTAACCCTCGTGTATGTTTGGACTGTGCAGTTTTATAAATTTGTTTGACAGCTTTTTGAAAAGTGATTTAATTGCATTTAGATTGGTTTCAGAACTCCTGATCATTTTGAGTTTGCTTAGTTTAAAAAAAGTTCAACTGACAGCTGCTGAATAATGTACTATAATGGGGCTGTAAACATCCTAAGTTTTGTACGAGACATTAAGCCAAAATAGTGCTGATAGTTTAGCTGGTAGATATCTTGAGCATAAATGTTTGAGGTTCAGACTTTAGCTTCAGTAGCTGGCTGCCCTATCAGAAGGGAGCAAACTGTATTAATGGAACTGAACACTAATGAATATCCGAAAAGCTTGCATTTGTTTTGTGAACATTTTTGTTAGTGTGAGGTCTAACTTTTTATGTCCTGATAGATCATAACATTAAATGACCTTAATATAAACTAATGGAATCCTGTCCTCAAAATTACATATGTTAATGGATTACTGCAAAGTGAAATTGTCCCCTCAAAATGCAGGTGAAGAAGGCAAATGGCATGTCATCCTTCATAGCATGAAGATTTGAGTACAGGAGCAGGGATGTCTTGCTGCAATTGTATATCACCTTGGTGAGACCACATCTGGAGTATTGCTTGCATTTTGGTCTCCTTACCTGAGGTAGGATGTGATGACTATGGAGGGAGAGGAACAAAGGTTTACTAGACCAATTTCTGGGATGGCAAGACTGAGGTATAAAGAGCGACTGGATCAGTCAGAAGCATATTCATTGGAGCTTAGAAGAATGAGGGGGAGTGATGGGAATCTCATTATAGAAACCTGTACCATTCTAACAGGACAAGACCGGATAAATGGAGGAAGGATGACTGGGGAGTCCAGAACCAGGGGGTCACACTTTCGGTATAGACCAGGGTAGGCCTTTTAGGATTGAAATGAAGAGAAATAGTCACCCAAAGACTGGTGTGCCTGTAGAATTTTCAGCCACAAAGTGGTTGAGGCCAAAATATTGAATGTTTTCAAGGAGATAGATATAGGTCATAGGCTAAAGGGATCAAAGGATATGGGGAGAAACCAGGTGCAGGGTGTAGAGTTGGATGATCAGCCATGATTATGTTGAATGATGAAGCAGCTTCAAGACTGTATGGCATGCTGCTCCTATTTTCTATGTTTCTACAGCCTGTAAGAAGGTACATGACATTTTGGTTTTTATTGCAACGGGATTGGAGCACATGAAAAAGGGAGTCCTAGCACAAATGGGAACAAAAACAAAGTTGCTGTTTTTGATTTTTGTTCCTGATTTTACAGTATCTGCAGTTCTTTTGCTTTTTATCTAGCACAAATGGGGTTTGGACTCCGTGGTGGCAGAAGGATATAGAATCATAGAATTTTACAGTACAGGAGTCCATTTGGCTCCTAAAAGAGTTACCCAGCTAGTCCCATTCTCCAGCCCTATCCCCCAGCCCTCTAAATTCATCAACTTGCAGATATATTTCCCACTCTCTTTAGAAACCTCCTATGGAATCCACTTCCACCACTCTCCAAGGCAGCGCATTCCAGATCCTGTTGATTCTAAGTAAAAAAGTTTTTGTTCATCTCACTCCAAGCTCTCTTGCTGACCATCTTGTAATCGTGATCCCTAGCTGCAATAGCAACAAATGGAAAACAGTGTGTCCTTTATTCTGTCAGAACTGTTCATAGTTTTTGCTGGGGCTGGAGGATTTGAGTTATAAGGTGATGTTGAATAGGCTGGGACTTCTTTCAAGGGAGCATAGGAGGTTGACGGGGGCCTTACAGAGATTTATAAAATCATGAGGGGCATAGATAAAGTAAATAGCAAAGATCTTTTCCATAAGATGGAGGAGCTCAAAGCTAGGGGACATATTTTTAAGGTGAGAAGGATTTTAAAGGGACTTGAGGGGCAGTTTTTCTCTCGCATGGCTCATTTGTGGAATGAGCTGCCAGAGGAAGTGGTAGATGTGGGTACAGTTAAAAAATTTAAAACAAAAAAATTGGATAGGTACATAAATAGGAAAGGGTTAGAAGGTTATGGGCAAAACACAGGCACGTAGAAGTAGTTTCGTTTGGAAAACTTGGTCGGCATGGATGGGTTGGACCTAAGGGTCTGTTTCTGTGCTGTATATCTCTACGACCTCAATAAGGTCATCTCTGAATCTCATCCGTACCAAAGAGAATGAGCCTAATTTCTCTAATCTTTCCTTGTACCGAAAATCTCGTACTCCTAGCATAATTCTCAAGAAGCTTGATACCATTCAGATCCACAAACATCTACTCCCTCCTCCACCAACATTCAATAGCAACAGTGCATCTACAAGATGCACTGCAGCAATTCACCAAAGATCCTTAAACAGTTCCGTCCAAACCCACGACCACTTCCATCGAGAAGGACAAAGCAGATACGTGGGAATGCTGCCACCTACAAATTCCACTCCAAGCCACTCGCCATTCTAACTTGAAAATATATTACCGTTCCTTCGCTGTTGTTGGAATCAAAATCCTGAAATTCCTACCCTAAGGGCTTTGTGGGTCAACCTACAGCATATGGACTGCAGTGGTTCAGGAAGACAGCTCACCACCACCTTTGCAAGGGCAATGGGGAGGCGATGGCATAGTGGCATTATCACAGGACTGTTAATCCGGCGACCCAGATAATGTTTTGGGGACCTGGGTTTGAATCCCTCCACGGCAGATGATGGTATTTGAATTCAATAAATATTTGGAATTAAGAGTTTAATGAGGACTGAATCCATTGTTGATTGTTGGAAAAACTCATCTGGCTCACTAATATCATTTAGGGAGAGAAACTGCCATCCTTACCCAGTCTGGACTCTTGTGTGATCCAAACCCACAGCAATGTGGTTGACTCTTGCCTGCCCTCTGGACACTTAGGGATGGGAAATGAATGCTGCTTAGCTAGTGATGCCCACATCCCAAGAATGAATGAAGGAAAAAAAAATGGGCTAAATGCTGGCCAGGCAGCGATGTCCACATGAATAAAAATTCTTGCTCCCCTCCCCTCCGCTCCCCCTCCCCTCCCCTTCTTGAATAAGGTGCCCAGAACTGAACATAATACTTCAGCTGTGGTCTGACTAACAATTTGTAGACATGTAGCATCACTCCCTAGCATTCATTCTCTGTGCCTGTATTTATAAATGCAAGGATCCTATAAATCTTAACATCTGTTTCATCTTGCCACGACACCTGGAACCCCGAAGTCCCTCTGCTGCTGTACTCCTGTCTGTTATACCATTGAGCCTGTATTGCTGCTCCATGTTTATCGAGTTATAGTTCTTTTCCCAAAATGCATTACCTCACATTTCCCTGCTCATCTGATATGCTTGTCTTGGAGGTGAAAGATTCAGTAGATGGTAGTGATGTCCTGTGACTGAGGAAGTATATCCTCTGGACTTTGAAAGGACGACAAGTGATCCCGTAGAAATGGACAAGATTCTGAAGAGGCTTGATAGGGTTGTTGATCATTTAGCACTGAGATGAGAAATTTCTTCTCTCGAAGATATGGGGAGTTGGTGGGAAAGTGAAGTTGAGGTAGAAAATCAGCCTTGATCGTATTGAATTGCAGAACATTCCTAAGGGTCTGTATGGTCTCTGCTCTAATTTCTTAGGTTGGTTCTGCTGCTATATTTGATTTACCAAATGCTACTGGCAGGGATAGTGCTTGATATTAATCATGCCAGCTATGATTCAATTGATAGCACTTTTACCTGAGTCACAAGGTTTCATGTTCACAAAGCAAAATGTGGTATTATTGTGCCATTAAAAATTTTCTGTATGCAAATTGGCTGCTACCTTTTTTAAATTAATCTCAGTTGTTACGGTGCAGAAAGAATCTATTCAGCTGATCATGTCTGCACTGTATATTAGCACTGGTCATTAGACCAACACCAGTAGCATTTGTCAGTGGAGGCAGTCTCTGTTAATGAATATCAGTGAGCTTTATGAAATCCATTTCAGCCAAGGTATTTAAATGTTGATGAGCTTCACCTGCCTTTATTCCCACACAAGTGACTAACCATTAAATTGTATGTTACTCAGTTTTAAAAAAAAGCTTGTTATATCGAGTTTACAATGACTAAATCTATTCTTCACTTATTCTGCTTGGGTGCTTTCTCTCTGACCATAATTATGCTTAACTGAAACTCTCCTGTTAAAGATCATAACATAAATGTGAAACGTACATGCACTAATTGTTCTACTTGGTGTTGACTATTCTTACTCGAATTGTTGCCCTAGAGTCATCCCACAGTGTCCGATTTTGTATGAAGAATCTCTGTAGATATTTTACAAGTGCGCATATGTTCGATGCAGTGAAGGAGTGCGTAATACTTATGAACCTAATTAGCATGGATCTTCAAAGTAAAGGGTTATAGACTGGGCACTGTCTCACCATGGTGCAACTTTATGCAACTTTAATTTTAAGACATGCAGAGAGAGTTGCACTTATTAACTTAATGACATAAACCTGTAAATTCCATTGGCTCATACAATGCTTTCCTGGATTATTGCTCCCTTAGAAGATATGCTTTACCTCTTATTTACTATATAGGTTAAAAGTTATTTTCTATAACAAATAGCGAAGTAGCTTGGTTAGCTCATATTGCAATATTATGGGCTATGTTGTCACATAATCCAAAGGTTGTAAAATCAAGAAAAGACTACTAAGCCCATCATCATTAACCCTTGATATAAATACTTGTTTCCAGTACCTTCCTTGATGTTTGGAATGGAACACAGTTTTTCAAATGTGATGTAATTAATGCGAGCCACTTGTTAACAAACATCTGGAGTGGTTCGTTTTCTGGCTGATCCATTGCTGTGTCTTAAGATAGCATCTTACGTTGTGCAAGTACATGATAAGTGATTTTCAATATTTTCTTTGTTTCAGACAAACCCTTAAAGAAACGGAAACAAGACTCATTTCCTCAAGAGACTGCTGGAGGAGGTGGGGGTGGTGCGAATAGACCAGCGCTTTTGGTCAGTATTGATCTACAACATGCAGGAAGAACTGATGGACAGGCAGCCCCTCCTTTAGATTCAGAAAATGTGAAAAAGTCTTTGGAGTTAGTACGGCAGAGTACTGAAGTGTCATTAACGCGGCAAGATGATACTTTGGGGGTATTAAAGCCTAAGCCAGAAAATCACCCAGATATTTCCAGGAGAAAATCTGAAAATGAAGGGCAAAAAGACACCAGCAGGCCTGATGTGATCAAACCAAGACCAGAAACTCCAAAACAGAAAAGTGAGATCCGGCCTGAGACACCGAAGGGAAAACATGACAACAGGCGAGATGTGGCTAAATCAACTCCAGAAAAGAGACTTGAAATATCTAAACACAAGCATGAGGGCAAATCTGAACATACAAGAATGAAAGCTGAGAGTCGATCAGAAACGCCAAAGCCACGCCATGAGGGACGACAGAGTTCAGACATTCCCAAAGATAAGCGAGAGCTAAATCAGGAAACCCAGAAACAGAAGTCAGATGAGAAAAATGATTCTGAGCGAGGAAAACTAGATGCATCAAAAGTCAGGAGACCAGATACCCCAAAATTAATAAAAAATGAGTCTGATTGCAAACCACCTCGAAATGAGACTCCTAAAAATAACCAGACAGACTGTTCAAAATCAGTGAAAATAGAAAAAAAAGCACGTTCCGATTCAGGGGATCGAGGAGATCGTGGTGACCGAAGTGAGCGACGTTCACCAGAAGAACACCGGTTGCGGTCAGAAAGCCCAAGGGTCAAACAGGATAACAGGGAGTCTGGAAAAATAAAGTCTGAAATGAAAGATCGAACTGCATTGAAACAGAGTAGAAGATCAGACGTTCCAGCAGGATCATTGAGCAGTAAGGATAGGGATGAGCGAAGATCGGAGGGGAGCAAAGTGAAACCAGAGACACTCAACACACTTTCTGATAAAGAAAAGTTCCCAAGCTATCTACTGGGGGGAGGAAGGTCCAATGCACTAAAAAACTTTGTAATTCCAAAAATTAAACGAGATAAAGATGGTAATGTTTGTAATGAGCAGAAGGAATTGAGAAAGTCAGTGGATAAAAATGAATTAAAGTTGAAAGTGGAAAAGATGGATCTAGTGGAGGACCTGAAGAAAGTAATCAAACCTGTTGTGGTTCTTCATAAGTTGCCCTTTGATGAAGTGCAGAAATTTATCAAGGACAACGAAGACAAAAATGCATCAAGAAGTTCCAGCAAATCTAAGAGTCGATTGCCCTCCAAGCCAAGTAAAGGTACTAATGTTGCTTTTTATAATGTGTTTAGTTGGGATGAGTTCTTTTCAAGTTTTATGTATAACTTGTTTATTTCTGACGTCATTTGTAAGGATATATTTGATCTCTGGTACAACTAGGGAGACATTGGCCTAGTGGTATTGTCACTGGACTGTTAATCCAGAGATCAAGGTAATGTTCTTGGGACCTGAGTTCGAATTCCACCAGCAGCTGGTGGAATTTGAATTCAATAAATATCTGGAATTAATTGCCAATTGTTGGGGAAAAAACACACTTGGTTACTAATGTCCTTGAGGCTAAGGAAACTTCCATCCTTACCTGGTCTGGACTACATGTGGCTACAATGTGGTTGACTCATAACTGCCCTCTGGGCAATCAGAGATGGGCAATAAACGCTGGCCTAGTCAGCGTGAATGAATTTTTAAAAAAAGTTCCTTCAGTAATACAGGAACACCCTCCAGTGGCTCAATATTGGTATAGCAGCCTATAGAAAAACCTAGCCGAACATTTGCTTTGTGATGTGCTTCACCATGGCTTTTAAATATACCATCCCGTAGGGTTGTCACATCCCCAGTCCTCACCCCAAAAACAGAAGTTTCTTTCTAGTGTTTGTAATCCTTTTGCATGTTTTCTCTTCTACGCCTATATTATTTTAAATCCATATTCTCCTTAGGTACTGTACTTTTTAACTTGTATTTATTCATCACCCAGTCGACTAGTGCGTACCAAATTATGACTTACTGTGTGAAAACATTACGCCTACTGGCCCTTGTTCTTCAACCAATCAGTTTCAATCTGTACCTTCTGATTATTGCCATGAGCAATTGAAAACTGTTAAACAACTCATGATTTTTGAACACCTCTGACTTCTTAGAATTTCTGTCCTTAGACCAGAGAACGCTGTCATTATCCAGTGTATCCATGCAATTGTAATCTTGCACGCAATAGATTATTATAGATTATGTAGCTATTACCCCTTTCTCTCTGAAGAAGGGACATTGGACCTGAAATGTTAAATAGGCTTTCTCTGTAGATGCTGCCAGACTTGCTGAGTTTTCCCACCAGTTTGTTTTTGTTTTGTTTTCCAGCATCTTCAGTTGTTCTTTTCTTTTTAAAAACACCCACTCCTTTGTCTACCCAACTCTGTTTTTATCTGTCTGTCTGGGCTCCATTTCCACCTATCGTTTATCCGTTGCCCCCCCACCCCCCCGACCCATTCTTTAGCATATATACCAATCTCTTCTCATCTACAATCAGATCCAAACAAGGGTCACAGGACCCGAAACGTTAATTCAGCTTTAACTCCATAGATGCTGCCAGGCCTGTTAAATTTTTCAGGCAATTTCAGATTTTGTTTCTGATCTTCAGCATCCACAGTCTTTTTTGCTTTGTTTATAGACTGTGGTCTGTTGAGGTTGTTTTGCCATTTGTTATGACCATCGCTGGAACTGGTTGATCCATTCCAGTAAATCATCCAGTAAACTTCATCCAGACCCTTAATGTCTTTTTTTAAAGTGTGATGTCTAGTTTTTACTCAATTCCAGTAGTAACTTTAGCACATGTTAATGGTTTTTCGGCTCCTTTTCATTTAAGGAGCATTGAATTTAAAATGCGGATTAATTATTTTGGTGACTTGTTCAATCAATTTCACAGGTTTGTGCACCAACGTCCTAGGTATGTCTGTTATTGCAGAACACTCCCCAAAAATACCCTCTTAAAATTGGGCCATTTGACTTGGGTCTTTTCAATCTTTTTAAAAAAGGGCATTAATTTACTCATTGTTGAATTCCATCTACTGTGTCCACCTATTATGAACAAAGAAAAACAGAATCGCAGAGTTATTACAGTGCAGAAGGAGGCCATTCAACCTAGCCAGTGAACTGTGGCTAGTTCAGGATTAAAATTAAAAGTTAAAGGGCTGTAAAGTTGCCAGAAATAGCAGTAAATCTGAGGAAAGGGAGGTTTTAGAATATGTCAAAGGAGAACTAAGAAACTTAAGGAAAAATGGAGAGTAAGATATGAATGCAGTTTAACAATTAAGAATGGACTACGAAAGCTTCTATAGGCTCGTAGAAAGGAAAAGTTTGGCTAAAATGAATACTGGTCCATTACAGGAAGTGTCTGGAGCATTTATAGTAGGGAATAGTAAAATGACGGAGAAGCCAAATGATTACTTTGTCTAGAAACTAAAAGAACTGCGGATGCTGTAAATCAGGAACAAAAACAAAGTTGCTGGAAAAGCTCAGCAGGTCTGGCAGCATCTGTGAAGGAGAAAATAGAGTTAACTTTTTGGGTGCGGTGACCCTTCCTCAGAACTGATAGTGGCTGGGAAAATGTCAGTTTATCTGCAGAAAATAGGGAGGTGGGTGGGGTAGGGAGTAAACGATAGGATAGAGCCCGAAGAGAGAGAAAGACAGTTGGACAGACGAGTTGCTAACGATCAGGCTGGGAGGGTGAATAGTTGTAAATGGGCACTGTTAGTGACTAACGACAGGGGATGTGTAATGGCAGGCCATGTGGTAACAAAGCCGGGTGTGTGGGGTGGGGGGCTGGGACATGGGTGAGTTTAGGCCCTAAAATTATTGAACTCAATATTGAGTCCGGAGGGTTGTAGGGTCCGCAAGCGGAAAATGAGGTGTTGTTCCTCCAGCTTGTGGGCTTCACTGGAACACTGTAGCAAGCCAGAGACAGAGATGTTGGCCAGGGAGCAGGGTGGTGCATTGAAGTGGCAGGTAACGGGTAGTTCAGGGTCTTTTTTGCGAGTAGAATGTAGATGTTCTGCAAAGCGGTTGCCAAGTCTATGCTTCGTTTCCCCAATGTAGAGGAGACCACATTGTGAGCAGTGATTGCAGTAGACTAGATTGTGGGAAGTGCAGGTGAAGTGTTGCTGTATGTTTGGGCCCTTGGATACTGGGGAGGGAGAAGGTAAATGGGCAGGTGTTGCACCTTGCCGGTTACAGGGGAAGGTGCCGTAGGGCTGTGGGGAGGTGTTGGGGGTGAAGGAAGTGTGGACCAGGGTGTCCCGGAGGGAACGGTCCCTGCGGAAGGTGGACAAGGGAGGGGAGGGGAATATGTGTCTGGTGGTGGCATCTTGCTGGAGGTGGTGGAAATGGCATCTGATAATCTTCTGGATGTGGATGCTGGTGGGATGGTAGGTAAGGATAAGGGGAACCCTATCGCTGTTGCGGGAGGGAAGAGAAGGGGTGAGGGTGGAAGTGCGGGGGATGGGTCGGACCTGTTTGAGGGCCTTGACAACGGAGCTGGGGAAACCTCGGTTGAGGAAGAAGAAGGTGGAGGTTTCAGAGGCTCCCTTGTTGAAGTTGGCCTCATCTGAACATATGTGACGGAGACGGAGGAACTGAGAGAATGGGATGGAGTCTTTACAGGAAGTGGGGTGTGAGGATGTATAGTCCAGGTAGCTGTGGGAGTCAGTGGGTTTGTCGTGGATGTTAGTGGCCATTCTATCCCCAGAAATGGAAACAGAAATGTCGAGGAAGGGAAGGGAGGAGTCAGAGATAGACCAGGTGAAAGTGAGGGCAGTGTGGAAATTGGAGGTGAAATTGAAGTTTTCCAATTCCAGACGAGAAAGGGAAGCAGCACCGACAATATCATCAATGTATCGGAGAAAGAGTTGAGTGGGGGCCAGAATAGGACTGGAACAAGGAATGTTCCACGTACCCCACGAAGAGACAGGCATAGCGACGGCCCATGCGGGTACCCATGGCAACCCCTCTTACCTGAAGAAAATGAGAGGAGTTGAAAGAGAAGTTGAGGGTGAGGACAAGTTCGGCCAAGCGGAGCAGGGTGGCGGTGGGTGGGGATGGTTTAGGTCTTTGGTCCAGAAAGAAGCGGAGAGCCCTAAGACCCTCCTGGTGGGGAATGAATGTGTGAAGGGATTGCACATCCATGGTAAAGAGGAGGTGGCTGGAGTCGGTAAACTGGAAGTTTTGAAACCGGCGTAAGGCGTCAGATGAATCATGGATGTATGTGGGTAGGGATTGGACCGGGAGGAGAAGACTGAGGCAACTTTGTTTTTGATTACTTTGTCTATTTTCATGGAGGAAGATGCAGTAAATCTCCTGAACCAGGGATCCATGTAGCTAGGGAGAATGAGGAGTTGAAAGAAATTGATTTTAGTAAGGTGATTGTACTGGAGAAATTAATGAGCTGAAAGTTGATAATTCCCCAGGACCTGATGGACTACGTGCCAGAATATTGATGGTGATGATTATAGGATAGTCGATAGTTTGGTGATTACCTTCGAAAGTTTTACTGATTCTGGAATGATTCTTCAGGATTGAAAGATTGCAAATGTCATCCACTTTTTTTTGACTCATAGACTGGATGAGACCATCACTAGCCATGCCAGCATTTATTGCCATCTCTAATTGCCCAGACAGTAGTTCAGAGTCAGCCACATTGCTGTGGGTCTGGAGTCCCATGTAGGCCAGACAAGGTAAAAATGGCAGTTTCATTTCGTAAAGGACATTACTGAGCCAGATGGATTTTTCTGACAACTGACAATGGATTCTTGGGCGTCATCAGACTTTTTTAATTCCAGATTTCCATTGAATTCAAATTCCACCATCTGCCATGGCCATGTCTCTGAGCAGATGCAGGGCATTCTGGAGGGGGAGGGTATTCAGCCAGCTGTCATGGTGCATAAAGGCACCAACGATTTCAGTAAAATGTGGGATGAGGTCTGACAAGCTGAATTTAGGGAGTTAGGATTTAAACTTAAAAAGTAGGACATCAAAGGTAGTTATCTCAGGATTGCTACCAGTCCACGTGCCGGTCAGAGTAGGAATGGCAGAATAGCTAAGATGAATGCATGCCTTGAAGGATGGTGTAAAAGGGAGGGATTCAAATTCCTGGGACATTAGAACTGGTTCTGGGGCAGGTGGAACCATTACCATCCGGACGATCTGCACCTGGGCAGGACTGGAGCCAGTGAGAATTTGCTTCTGCTGTTGGAGAGGGTTTAAACTAATATGGCAGGT